CCCCGCCGTCGCCAACCGACACCGCGACGGGCGGACTTGATGCGCCGCCAAACCACCCCATGCCCATCGCACCCATCGCCATGCCAAACATCCCGATCCCCATCTCGACGCCCATCCCTGGGCCGAGCATAGAGGCACCCGCGGAGTTGGCGCTGGGGGGGATAGACAAGCCGCCTGCAGGCGGAAGCCCAAGCGAGACGCCCCCGCTCGTGCCCCCAGCCCCGCCACTGCTGCTGTCAGCCTCGGCATCCGCATCGGCGTCGCCATCCGTCCCCCCAATGTGGGCGTCGACTTCCATGGCGTCACCATCAATCTGCGCAGTAACAGGTGACGAAGCCGACGTCGACCCAGCAGTGCCGTCCACGCCGACGCTCTTCAGAAACTCCTGCCACACCGCCTCGTCCGGCTCGAATGGCTCGCTCATCTCTTGCCGCCCCCGCCCCTCCTCCGTCCCCCTCCCCTCCTCGTCCTCCACGCGCATCGACCGCACAAGGTCCTTGAGCCCGCCAATCGGAAGCACCGGCGGGTCCCCGGGCTGACGCGCCAGATCCTGCGTCAAGCCCTCCGGACCCTGAACGAACGCGTTGCCCCCCTCCGCCTCCGCTGCACGCGCCATCGCAAGGTACAGCGGGTGCGGCCGCGAGCGCGGATGCGGCAACCGCCGTTCCAGTGTTCCGCGCCCCGCGCCTGCATGTCCACCGTCCTCAAGTTCCTCCGCGGTTGCTGTCCCGCGCCACGCAGCACGACGCGTGGTGTCAACCGGCGTTCCCCGCCCGCCTGCCCCGCCTGCGCCACCTGCGGGCGCAATTGGGATGTCCGTGAAGAGATGTCGCAGGACGGGGACGCGCACGCTTGCGAGTGGCGGTGGCGGGAGCGGCAGCGGAAGCTGCAGTTGCGGTGGAAACCCGGGGCCCTGCGCCGGTCCCGTGGGTTGCGGTTGCTGCTGCGGGGCGACGTAGAACGACGACAGCGCGCCGCCGACGTCCATCTCTGCGGTCCCGATGCTATCCTCCCCACTGGGATTGTTGCTATCCGCGTTGAGTGAGAAGGACTGCTGTAGAGGCGGCTCAAGCTCGAAGCTGTCGCCGTCGCCATCATCCTCCCCGCTGCCGTCGCCTTCACTGGCGCTGTCCTCCAGCTCCCAGTCGTAATACTCCTCATCCATAAAGTGCAATGCGTCAGGATGCGGCTTTCCGGTCGAGCTGTAAAAGTCATCCGCTTCCTGGGCCACGAGCGAGCGTATGAGCGCGGGTGTATAGCGCGTGCGTCTGCAGAAACAGTCAGCGAATGACAGCGACCGCAACGACGCAGAACAGCTCACATATCCCACACGCGTACCCGAGACGCGATTTTCCACAGGCCCCACGACGTATGCAAGCGCGTGTGCGGATCTGGCCCGAGGTCTTCGATCTCCTCCTGCGGGTGCTGCGGGTACGGGGACCCAAGCTGCGGTGGCGCCTCGTACACAAGGTCTGTCGATGGCCCCTGTTCTTGCCGCCCTGCGTCCGATTGTGGCAGCTGCTGACTCGGCTCCAGCACCACCACATTTTCAGCGGGCGGCGTAGCCGAAAGCGGACGAAACGGCGGCGATACCAAGGACAAAGGGCTCCGCCCGCGCATGCCCCTGCCAGTAAATGACTGGTTTGTCGCGCCGTCGTACGCCTCATCCGTAGCCGCATCGCCCGCGCTGCTCATCTCCTCCTCTTGCGGCTCCATCTCCACATCCCTCCGCGCCGCTTCCGGACCAGCGCCAGCGTCCGCCGGCCACGGTACCGCCGCGCCCCTCCCAGGCGGCATCCACCCGCGCCACCGCGCCACAGCCTCCGCGCGCGCTGCCGCTTCCGCCGCCTCCCGCGCCGCAAGCTCCCCTGCGCGCTGCCGCCGCAGCACCAGCGCGTTCCACTCGACGGCGCGCGTGTGGCGCTCCGCGTACCCGACGCCCGCGCCCGTGCCATACACCCCAGGATACCCATAGGGGCTCGTCGGAGACGCTGTTGCGCCAGTGGGCGACGTTGGCGAGGGCGACAGCGGGAACGGCGCATGAGGCAGCGGCCAGTCAGGCGACACGGGAGGGCCAGCTGCGCTCATGTCGAGCGTTATTGGGAGTCCGTCGGGGCCGGCGAAATCAGGTACCCCGCGTGCCGTCATTATGCAGCGGTTTCCGGTAGCAAACGGCGACGGCGGAGTCGCATCCGCTGGCGGCGCGACGAGCGGCGACGGCTCACACGTCGGCACAGGGAGCACGCACGGCGCGAAAGGCGAGGGTGAAAAGTCCTCTGGCGAGAGTGAGCGCGGAGGCATGATGTTGCCTGTATTGGACGGAGCGCCTGGACTTGAAGTTGTGCTAGGTGAAGGCTTTGCGTTGGTCGCTGCGCTTGCACTCGGCTCGGCGCTGGCCATAGGCGCATCAGCCTTCAGAGATGCTGAACGAAAAAAGGTGAGCTGAATACCTCACAACGAAAAGATGAAAAACTCACCAGGCGGCATCTCGACATCGCCCTCTGCATCTGCGCCTTGCGCCTTCCCTTCCTTTCCATCTCCACCTCCATTTTCACCGTTTTCTTCCCTCCTGCTGCTCGCATCCTCGCATCCCTCGGCATCCATCCGATCTTCCACCGGCTCCTCCTTCACCTTCGCCTCCTCCTTCGCCCACGGCGCATCACTCCTCTCCCGTACTGGGCTAGTCAGTGGGCTGGCGACACCCATGTCGATCTCGTCCAGCCGGGTATTAGGCGCGGGACTCGTCCCGCGCAGCGCCGGGCGAAGCGTCAGCAGATTTTGCGACGGGGAGGGGGAGGACGAGGTGGATGGCGGTTTTAGTGACGGCTGGTGCTGTGGCTGCAGTTAGTACACAGGATTCGACGGGAACGAGAGGAAGGCGGCGGGAAGGGAAAGAAGTACAAGAACAAGGGACGACGAAAGGAGACAAGCAGACACGCACCCCATTCGTAAAGAGATGCGCCGTCCGCCGCGTCACGCGGCGCACCGGGAACGGCTGCGTTGCGGGTGCATGCGTGTTTTGATTTTCACTGTTACTGGTGCGTGCATGCAGTTGCGGGTTCTGATTCTGATTGTGAAGACCATTTCGACTCGTGTTGGCGCCAATTTTGTCGGTATCGCTCGGCGGCGAAGGTGCTTTGCCCTTGCCTGTCCGGGTTGGCGTCGGATGCGGCTGAAGAGGAGTGTTAGTTGGGGTTCTTCATCCTCGGTAGAGGGGAAAAAAATGAAAAAGGGGGAAAAAACGAGGGGAAAGTAAAGCAAAGTGGGAAGAAGATGGCTGAAGAAGCACGGAACGTTGAAAGGAAGAGAGTACAGATGAAAAGTGCAGGCGGAAGAGGCTGGATCGATAAGGAGACGACGCAAAGCATGAGTCAGCAAATAGGCGCCTGAGCGCTTAAAGGCAGAGGCAACGAAATTGGAGAATATTGGGGAAAGAAGGGGGTAAGGGACACGAAAGTTAGGGAAGGTACGGCGCGAAGACGCTGGATGAGGGATCAGAGTAGCGAGCGCACGCCGCAGCTGATGGCACGCGACATGCGTCTTCCGCATTGCAGGTGATGGCACACGCCATGCGTAGTCCGCGTTTTGCGTACTTCCTTCCACCACCAAGTCTATCGGCCCTACCAAGCCAGATGAAGAGGAAAAAACAGAAGGGGTGACCAAGGAAGGGAATGTAGGCAGACGACAAGCGCCGAAAAAGGCAGGTATGACAGGTAACGGATGCAGACACGACACTCACCTCAGCGGGACACCGCGCGCGCTGGCGCTTGCGAACACTGTCCTGCAGGTCAGGACTCTTGCGCTTCTTGTGTGTCGGCGAGGGCGACGCCGCCGCCGCCGCGTGGCCCGGGGGGGACGTGGTGGCGGCCTTGAGGCTGAGGCGCCGCGAAAAGCGCGGAGTGGTGGCGCCATCCTGCGGGATGCGCGATGTCGAGGCGACGGGCGCGGGTATGGGGGCGAAGCGCGCGCTACGCCGCGGGCTGGGGCTGGGGCTGGGGCCTGCCGAGGCGGCGACGGGGCTCTTCGTGCGGGGCGCCATGCTTCTGAGGCGCCGTGGTGTCGGGATGTCGTTGTCTATCTTGCTATCTTCTATGTATTGCGGCGCACCCCTGGCGTCGCCTGTGGGTGGGGATGGGCTGTGTATCTAGGCAGGGGGAATGCGGGTTGTTCCGGACGGGCGGTGGCTGCGTGCGGGATGGGTCGGGATCGGCGTGATTGGGGTGAGGGTGTGGCGGGCGGCGAGGTCGGCGGCAGGGCCGACAAATAGAATTGGCTGGGGAGTGACCGACGACGCAGACGAAGAGGGCCGTGCCAAGCGCGTGCAAATACCAAACACTGCCATGTCCTGCGGCACGTGCTCCTCTGGCGCTCCGCCAGCAACGGGCACAGCGCAGGGGCCCGCCACTGCAGCTCGCGGCGGGGACGCGTTGGGCGCGAGACGCGACAGCAGCGTGACCGCATTGCCATGGGTTGGCAATTCCGGTTACATACATACACGCGGAGCCAAGTTGGGGATGCTCGGCGAAAGGAGATGCACTCGGCCGCAATCAAAGACCCTCTTTTTAATTCATTTACACGGCTCCTCGGCGGATCTTCGAATATATGTTGCACTGGGCGGTCTCTGGCCGATCCCAGGAAATATTATGCCCCTCACCGAGCGGTCTCTGCCCAAACACCTGCCCTGATGCACCGTGATTCCGTCTTCTCTGCGGGACATCTATTGCTATAAGTGGGTGATTCTGTCTGTTGTCTGATTCGAAATTGCTAAATTCTGTCTGATTGTCCCAGATCATTCAATTCCGGTTCATATACATTCGTCCACACTATTGATCCGTTCGATCAAAGTGAGACCTTCCGCAGTACATTCGATGACGATACTCCGGAATTCATGAAATTCTCAGCTCCCAAAGATATAATCCGTGCTCAAGTAAGGCTAAAGTGTCAACGCAGGTTTGTCGACCAGGAGCGCCATATGTGACAACCTACGAATATACTATGTTGCTTTGGTGGGGTAGTGGTTACCTGGGTTGTTTGAATAATTGATGTATCACATATATGTCTCAACCTAATGGGGGTTCGATTCCCCCCCAAAGCATTATGTATCGTCATTTGTTTTTTTGTGTTTCCTGTTCCTTCTCGTGCTTCTTCTGTTTTAATCGCGATTCTTTTCCCTCCGGCTCTTGTACTCTAGCATTATTGAAAACTTTGTGACTCCGAATTCCGTCCAAACGGTACTGGAGCAAAAGGGGTCGACGCCATGGGCGGCAACCTACAGTGCTTTGGTGGGGTAGCGGTTACCTAGGTTGTCGTTGTACTGGATACCACGACTATGTCTCAACCTGCCGGGGGTTCGATTCCCCTCAAAGCATTGTATAGTTTGGCTTGTTTTATCTTTGTTTTATCTTTGTGTTTCCTGTTGCTTCTCGTGCTACTTCTGTTTTAACTGTTAATCGCAATTCTTTTCCGTCCGGCGCTTGTACTCTATAGCATTGTTGAAAACCTGCTGACCCCGAATTCCGTCTGAACAGTACTGGAGCAAAAAGGACTGGCACTGGTCGACACTTCCACTGCTTTGGTGGGGTAGTGGTTACCTAGGTTCGACAAAATACATTCTCATATGAAAGGTCTTGACCTGCCGGGGGTTCGATTCCCCCACAAAGCATTGTCCTCATCATCGCTAGTATCATTTTTTGCTTTTCCTGTCGCTTCTCCGAGTTGTGCTTCTTCTGTTTTAACTGTCAATCGCAATTTTTTTTCCCTCCGGAACCGGCGCTTGTACTCTAGCATTATTGAAAACCTTCTGACCTACTGGAGCAAGAGAGACTGGCACCGACACCATGGGTGGCAACCTACAGAGTGATGACACTGCTTTGGTGGGGTAGTGGTCGAATTCTCATACCTGCCGGGGTTCGATCCCCCCCAAAGCATGGGTCGCTTGGGTTACGGTTTTTTTTTTTTTTTTTTGTGTTTCCTTTGTTTCCTGTGGCTTCTCGTGCTTCTTCTGTTTTAAGTTTTAACTGTCAATCACAATGTTTTTTCCCTCCGGAGTCCGGAGCCGGCCCTTGTACTGCAGCATTGTTGAAAAGCCTTCAACTGACCCCGGATTCCGTCCAAACATTACTGGAGCAAAAGAGACTGGCACTGACACCATGGGTGGCAACCTACAGTGTGATGACACTGCTTTGGTGGGGTAGTGGACCTAGGTTCGATTTCTCATATGAAAGGTCTTGGCCTGCTGGGGGTTCGATTCCCCCCCAGAGCATAGCATTTCTTGATATGTTGTATCGTTTTTTTGTGTTGCCGAGTCGTGCTTCTTCTGTTATAACTGTTAATCGCAATTCTTTTCCCTCCGGCGCTTGTACTGTAGCATTGTTGAAAAGCCTTCTGAGATTCCGTCCAAACAGTACTGGAGCAAATGAGACTGGCACCGACACCATGGGTGGCAACCTACAGAGTGATTACACTGCTTTGGTGGGGTAGTGGTTACCTAGGTTCGACAAAATGCATTCTCATACGAAAGGTCTTGACCTGCCGGGGTTCGATTCCCCCACAAAGTGTTGCTGGTTATCTTGTATGTCGGAAAAACCACCTTTTGCTCCCAACGGGTTGCAAGGGCATACGGGATTACGACGGGTTGTAACACGTCGCAACATGTTGTAAGCCGCACCATGTCGTGGTTGTAAGCACCTGTGAGCCGCTGTAAACCTTGGCGTGGGTTGTGAGCGGGTGAGATCCTTGAGGTGGATTGCAGGCTGTTATAGCCTGGTGAACGCGACCTATTCCTACGTGCGCCGGGGCGCCGCCACAGCAAACGATTTATTTATTTTTATTTATTCTTTGGCGTGACGCTTGCGACATTTGTGCCTAGACAAATATCATCTTACCTACGGCACGCGTACGCTTGGCAAGGTGTGTGTGCACAGGTGTGCACGCGGGACGTATACGAAATCAAATGGGTCACCGGGTGCCGGTGAGCGACGCTGAGCGTGGGCTAACCGGGTCGACCGAAGTGTCAAGGCGGCTCGGCGTTTCCAACTGGAGTCATTCCAAATGGGTCAGACCAATTTTTTGCCGTGACTGTAACTATCTAAGTATACCTTTAGTAGGGTCAGCATATATGCAACCCTGTAGCAAATAGCTGTAGCTTAATTTGCTCTGAATATTAGGACAGTTTTATTACTGCTTGCCATACGTGCCACTTAAATAATCTGGCGGCACACATCAAGTCCGCCGCCCCAATTAGGGTGCCGGTCCGCGTCCGCGTGAAACGCCAAATGCCCCATCAACCGGCTAATAAGCGTTGCCCATAAGTACCGGCATGTGAGGCTATCTCTGGCTATCTCCCCCCATCTTCAAGTTTCCTCCCCGCTGCTTACTTGTTCGATACACAACACACGCAACCCCGCCCGCACGCTGCACTTGCTGATGGTGACCCGCCAACCCGACGCATGGCTGCGCTTCCTTAGCGGCGCCGTGTAGCAGGTATGTTCCTCCCTGCCTGGCCACATGCCATGCTGACGGCGACCCGCAGCAACCCAACGCCCGGCTGCGCTTCCTTAGCGACGCCGTAGCAGGTATGTTCCCCCCGTTCCCGGCCACATACCGTGCTGACGCCGACCCATCGCAGCAACCCGCCCGGCTGCGCTACCTGCCGTCTTCCGCGGCGCCGTGTGCCCCTCGTGGTACGCTCAGCCGCCATTGTGGTACGCCATTGCCGTGTTACGCATGCGGCGGTGCCACGTGTGTACAGCCGTGCGGCCTATGCAGCTAGATTGCAGCTAGATTTTAGTACTGATATTTTTTTACTGTAAATAATAATAATTTTTAATTTTTTTTTGATCTCCGAAACTAAGTGCTTGCAAGCGCCTAAAAGGACGTAAATGCCCGGAGATGGATTACGTCCTTAGAGCCGCATAGAACCCGGGCCGTGGCTTACAACCGCTTGACCGCCTTTCAGCCTGTGTCACAAGCCACGCTTAGGCTTATGATGGTATGACGGCTTGCAAGCACTCATAATCCGCTATATGCAAATTTTGATTTTTCCGACATATACTTTTGTTCCTGTTGACACCGCTCCCGTCTCTCGAGTTTCATCACGTTAATTGCACTTTTACCTCGGGCTCGTGCACTCAATTCTGATCCCACTTTCCAGTCCAAAAAGTGTTGGGATGGCAATTGGGAACATAACACCACCACTGGATCCAATCGCATATGCATAAGAACGAGAGGTTGTCTCATCACCGCGGTCGTCCTGTGGTCCGTTGTGCCGTTTGTGTCTTGCAGGTTTTATATCTCATGTCTTGCGGCGGCTGAGGATCTCAACAAGCCAAAGATGTCGAGATGTGGTCCAGTCCGCAACATATAATAACGAATAGTCACTCAGAAACACTTTAAATATGTACATCTGTCATCCTGCTTCAGGTGTGAGTGAAGAGGAGCAGCGAATCTTGGCCCCGCTTATTTAACGAGCGTCGAGCAATCCAACGCCATGTATAGCCGCTCAACCAGTACGTCAGCCAACGCGTTCCTCGCTGTCAACTTCGCCATCTTTTCCCGCGTCTCGACTCTCGAGCGCGGCGCTCCCGATAAGCGGCAGCACGCACCGCGGCTCGCGCACGAGCGGGTGGTCCGCCCGCACATCCGGCTCATCGTCCACGACATCCAGCCCCGCGCCCAGAGCCGCCCCCCGCGCGCGCGAATCAATGATCGGCCCGCGCCCGTTGTCCAGGAGATCCGATCGATCACTTGTCTCCCAAGCGAAACCTTAGTAGTGCTGCAGTACATTCGCTATGGCTTTGATGTCGTTGTGACTTGATTTGTCGAACGGGACTACAGTTATGTTGCGTCAGTCTAGTAGTGTTGCTTTGGTGGGGTAGTGGTCACCCAGGTTGTTTGAATTGATTCCGCCGGGGGTTCGATTCCCCCTCAAAGCGGTCCACGTTGTGATCCTTGTTCAGTTTTGTTCCAGATGCCGGCCGGTCTCTATGAGCTATTTCATGTTTAAAACGTTAATTGCAATTTTCCCTCGGGCTCGTACACTCACTTCCGATCCGATTCCCAGTTCAAAAGGTGTGGCAACTGGAGTGGCAATTGGGAACATAACACCAGCACCGGAACCAATCTCACATGCATAACAACGAGAGCTTGTCTCAGCGTGGTCTGTTGTCCTTTTTTACTGTTTGCGCCTTGCAGTATCCCATGTCTTGCGGCGGCGGTTGAGGATCTCCACAAGTCAAAGACGTCAAGCTTCCACGAGAGGTGGTCCAGTCTGCAACATATAACGGTTTAATGACTCACGAATGGTCACTCATAGCCCGGAAACATGTATCCATCTGTCATCCTACTTCAGGTGTGAGTGAAGAGGAGCAGCGAATACTGGCCACACCTACCTATTATTTAACGAGCGTCGAGCAATCCAACGCCGCTCCCCCAGTACGCCAGGACGCGAGACGTAACCGTTTAATGTCAATGACTATCGAATAGTCACTCGGTAACACTTTAAATATGTATCCATCTGTCATCCCTGCTTCATGTGTGATTGAAGAGAATATTGGTCACACCTATTTAACGAGCGTAGAATAATCCAACGCCATGGGTAGCCGCTCACCTAGTACGCCAGCCAGCACGTTCCTCGCCGTCAGCTTCGCCATCTCTTCCCGCGTCTCGAGTGCCGCGCTACCGAGGTGCGGCAGCACGACGCACCGCGGCTCGCGCACGAGCGGGTGGTCCGCCCCCACATCCGGCTCCTCGTCCACGACATCCAGCCCCGCGCCCCAGAGCCGCCCCTCCGCCAGCGCTTGCGCGAGCGCGCGCGAATCGACGACCGACCCGCGCCCGTTGTTCACGAGCACGCTCGTCGGGCGCATCTGCCGCAGGAACGCCGCGTCGACGAGGTGCCGCGTGGCCGCCCCGCCGGGCGCGAGGACGAAGAGCACGTCGCTGCCGCGCGCGAGCTCCGGCAGGGCGACGGGCGCGACCGACGCAAGGCCGAGCGCGCCAGCGAGTTGCGCGTCGCGCACCGTCTGCGGGAGCGCGCCGGGCCGCGGGGTGTAGATGCAGTGCGTGATCCCGAAGGCGGCGAGGCGCTTGAGCACCGCGTGCGCGATGCGCCCGAAGCCGAGGAACCCTGCGGTGCGCGTCGGTGAGAAGAGCGTCGCGCTGAGCTGTGGGCCACAGAGTGCGAACGGGGTCCAATGAAAGGACGGCCACTGCGTGGGTGATTAGCAGGTCTAGGCGTCAGTGGAGTGGGCGGACTTTGTTATCTTTGACGAAAGAGGAGGTTTGTCCGGTGCGTCGGCTTGCCATGAGGGCAAGCATGACAGCAGAATCGGCGACTGTAGGCGAACTAATTCGATTTTGGCAGTAGTGAAAGACGAATTATACCTGCATCGGTAAGGACATCAGGTGTGTACCCTACTTGAATATTATGCTCGGCCATTACTGCAAGATCGATATGTTCTGTCCGCACAGTTGTAGCGACGGAAGAAAGGTTCGGCGAGTTAAGAGAACTCTCACCGTGACCGGCTGATATTGTGGAAACGACACGCAAATTAGGGCCCGCTTTCGGTGCAGCACGATGAAAATATTAGACAATCCGTAAGTCAAGGCATTGGCGCTTTAGCACGCACCAGCGTCGACAAGCTCACGATCGACCTCAGGCAAGTTTTAGAAACGACGTTGGGATAACAGCAGCGAATGCTCCTTACCATATCTTTGAAGCACACCGCAATCCCCGCAGCACCGACGACGTTTTGCAGCAGCCACGCGCGATCGCAGCGGCGCTCTTCCTTCCATTGAATTACCTACGTGGTCTGCGATGAGATGAGCATCGGAACATCTGGAAGGGTGGACGAGCCTCTGTGTCTTCCCGCGCAGTCAAAAGCGGCGCCGCAGGTCCAAGATCCGTACAAACAACGATTTTGTGTCGTGCCGCATGCGCACTGCCAGTGTCTTGAAAATTGTTGGCAGTGGACATGGCGTGAGTTCGATGGGGAGAGCTGATGGATGTGTTTTTGATTACTCTATAGGCGCGCTGGATATGGTTCAAAACGTTGGTTATGGATGCTCTCATGCAGACCAAATGTCACGATTGTGACGTGGCAATGAAGATGCACGTGATCGACTCGGTTAATTTTTTTTTCGTATGTGAGTTATTTTTACACAAAAATAGACACAGAGGGATCCCCGTCAATACTCTTTAATACTGTTTGCATTCCCTGGGCATTCTGAAGTGTCATATTATCCGGTGGAGATAATTCTATTTGGCACCCTCCCGTGCCAAGGCCCAAAAGCACGGGCCCCGGGGGGTGCTTTGGGGGGTGCTGGCACCCCCTGATTATGTAAAGTCCGATAAGATTGCCGGTACGCCGGCACGGAGGCTATGCGGCATCTCGTGCCTATATAGAAATCAATCAAATGCTGTCACAAAAAAATGGCTGCCGCTCGTCGCCGACCTCCGGACGCTCCTCGCGGCAGCACGGGAGCCTCGGCTTACGCGGCATTTTCGATTTCAATTGAGCTGACTCTTATAATCTAGACAGCATCAAATTCCCGCATGTGCGGCATATCCAGACATGACGCAAGGCTCCACACGGCACATCATGATCATATGCCGATAAACAACACATGACAAGTTAGTAACAGTGATGCGCAGTCCGCCGTCTTTTCGCCGACCCGCATTCAATCCTTGCGGCAGTCTCGGCTCATAAGACTTAATTGATTGGGACGGCCGCTACATCATGATTTGATCGCGTCGGCTAGATAAGGAGCACGTGGGGGGTGCCAAATAGAATTATCCTCATGGTGGGGCAATGGAATTACATAAAGCATCGAAGCGTAGACTTTTCTATTCGCTGGGCTCAGCCTGCTTTTATCATTATGATGGATCGCGCTAAGCGTGCTAAGCGAGGCACCGGCATCTCGGCATGCTTCCCAACTAGGCAGGTATGACGTCACATTGTCGGTCCCTAATAAGTTTCTTTTTTTTTTTTTCGCAACGCCCTTTGACCTCGAAACAGGCTCCTGTACAGACATGTATATTTGATGTATATCATGATCCATTACAGCATAGATAAGGTGTTGGGCAAGTTTCTACTATGTAGTAGCGGATTTCAATACTTTCGACTCAAAAGTATGTTAGGTTCGGATCAAGCCCCACGCTTCACGCTGGCGTGAACCTTATAAGAGGCTTGTGACAAAGTGGGTCAAAACGAGGGAGTGCTTAGTTACACCGTAGCAATTCATCAACACATATTGGGGCCTCGGTTAAACAGAGTTATATATACTATCGAACCCCCCCGACAATCCTAGAAAGAGAAAATATTTAAAAGTGCAAGGACGCGTGAGCTGGAGAGGCGGCAAAACGCGTCACATGCGCTCAAGGCTCAGATCAATGGCCTCTTTTGAGTGAATGAAAGTGGCCACAAATTTGAAACAAAATTTGCTAGGGACTCCTAGTAGTCCATAGATTAATATTATCAAAAAAAAACAGGGTGTCAGCACCTATTCTCAAGCAGAAACGAGATGCTGCAGTGAGGCCTTGTGTCACACCTTTCTGATGCGGCATCACACCAAGTCTGAGACAGGGGCCAGCAGACAAATTGCATTCCTATGGACCTCCCGTCGACTTCACAGCGCCGTAGAGGCGTTCAGGACGCAGAGCCAGTCCAGCTCGCTTACAACGAGGCCTTCTGGGACCAGAAACTCAGCCCCGATCTGCAGAAGGCCACAATCTGGCGTAAATGCCGTCTCATCTTTTCCCTCATCCTCTTCGTCAATATCCCCCTCATCGACATTTTCCTCTGGCTGTTTAACAGCAGAATCACACGTGTCCGCCAACGCACTGGGAAATTCCTTCAAGCTCCCGGTGCTGGTCAAAGTCCCGATGACTTTGGCCCGGCTCGCGTCTACGCGGTATGGCACACTGAATGGCCGCAATCGAGGCCGTGGTTGCACTACGTGGTGGAGCAATGTGCCAATGAGATTGCCGAGCAGGAGAGCGACCGCATAATCGAAGACAAAAGCTTGAGTGTTCGGATTAAAGACTTGACGGCCACAACAATTCCTTTGCTGCTGAAACCTGGTGTTATCATGGACAAGTATCGCCAGCATGCACCATTTACATGGGGAGTCTTGGAGACATTCAGCACCAAGCCCAATCGCTATCGTCGAGAGAAGGCTGTAAAACAGCAGAAGATGACAGATGGGGAGGAGGACGACGAGTCTGAGGAGAGTGAAGAGCCAGAGCTGCTGAAACGTGCCAAACTGGTGAGTGATACTGTTTTGTTCAAACAGTGAGTCTGAAAATGTACAGACTATTTGCGCAGCTATCGGAATGCTTGCCTTCATCCGAAATCGAAGCACCAATCTTCTACCACTTCTGCTTGGATTATTCTTTGTGATAAACGGCTCCTCAACGCGCACAATAAACTTACTCAACAACATTGGACTATCTGTCTCGGTGCGGACCGTCGAGAGGCTTAAGCTGCAAATCTCTCAGACGGCGGTAGACTTGGCCATCGAACTCCTTACCAGTGGACGGCTCTATGTCATCATCTACGACAATATCAACATCTACCTTCGAAAGTGGGAACAACGCTTGATAAACCGAAATCAAATGCTTAATATCACCAACTCTGCTGTTATCGCAATCGATGAAGAGGGCTTGGATACAGAACAGGCAGTGAACCTTGACGCGTGGAAAGCTCTGCGTGGTGCGAGAAAGGATGCTAGTTTTGCGAGTGACATTCGGCCTTCAAAAGACGATCAGGCCTTTATTCGACGTGCCTTTTGTTGGCAGATCGCCGATATTCTCGTCAGTCATACACCGGGACACCTGAAATGGAAGGATCGGCCGGCAATGTTAGACGCTGTGGCTAATAGCATGCCAGAGGACCGCCCACTGCAAGCCAAAAAGACGGATGCACGTCCTTTT